TGTGAGGAAAGTCCTTGGACCCCGTCACCAGGTTATGGTATAGAGTGAGGACCAGGTGGGACATGGAGTCCAGATTGCTGTTGGTCAGTTGACGGTTCCTCAAGTTAATGACGACCATCTGACGTGAAATGGTTGGAAACCTCACACCTCCTTATTGGAGGCGCACAGCAGTCTGACATATTATATTATACCTTTTAGCCTGCTGTACCATAGCATTGCTCTTTCTCACGCTCAATGAAAAGGGATAGCAGGTGCATCTAGCGATCTAAGTCGGTAGAAATCATTTTGCAATTCCTTCGTTTCTTGAAGAGTTCGGAAAATCCGAGTTTTCACAGCACTAGTAGGAAAAAGTTCCTGTTTGCACTGAAATGTGAAACCGAATTCCAATTTTTCCTTCTGCTTTTATATCCGTAGCTCAAACACGCCATCCTCATCACCATGACTCCCAGTGTCACCTAAAACCAATTTCATTTATTCAAAAGAAATTTTTTTTAAAAAAAATATTTTTCTCATTTAATTTTACTATTTCATGTTCTTTTTTTTGCCAATCTTTGTGGTTTTCTATGCTGTAAAAAAAAATAAAAAATCACCACTTTATAAAAAAATAACTGAAATTCATAACGACTATTCAGACTATTCATAATGGACTTTTTGCATTAAAGAATAGTTTTTCCATGTGCTTACACTGCTATCAGAGCCGATGTTGTGCCAAAAAGTAATCGGTGTCCAAGAAGTAATTAACGGTATTTAAAGCTATCAAGTATTTGCTTGCTCTGAAGAACACAGGTCTTTACCATTACTGTTGTGTAAGCAAAAATGCTGAGTGTAACTCAGGTTTTCCAAAGATTGAGATTTCTGATCATTTGGCAGTCATTGAATGCATCACAGCACGTCATTAGCCATTTCCGGGCATCCATGAAAACAGAATTTATTAAATTTAAGTTAGCAGGGAGTTCGCTAGTTTTCACCCAAACATAATATAGCATGTTCTGACTGAGAGATATCTGAAAAAATTAAAAATTAAAAAGTTGAAGCGAGGGTTCCCGATGGTTAGGGACAAATGCAGTTGCTTGGCAGGATCCTGCAAAGAACCAAACTTCAGTCAGGAGAACAACTGAGATAATCTGTCCACAATACGAGGTTAGTCATTATTTACTCCTGCATGAGCTAGGTTGTAGTTAAATCATAAGGTTTTAAAAACTGAGCTTTAAAATCGAAAGTGGTGATAAAAACCCAAGAGATTTCCACAGTGATCACTGACTTTTTTTAGGGCCTTGTTAAGATTAGATAGAACAAGATACAAAGCATTACAACATGTTAAAAACACAACAGCTTTAATAAACAGAGTAGTCTGAACCCAGGAGCAGGATTCATCACGTTATTTAAAGACCGGATAGGCAAATAACACCAAATGAGAGTGAATCATTTCAAAACAACAGGAACACTCCTGGTTATTGTGAGCAAATGTCATAACAAGATGAATATATTTACCATTTTAATGAGGGAGAATCTT